CCTCGCGAACTTCGAAGAGATACATATATAACGTGCTTACGCGGTTTCACATCCCCTGTCGGGAGTCTTGTCAAAGCTTATCTCTATGTACAGTACTGTAATATTTATTGAAGAAGCTTTAGTAATAGCGACGGCAAAGACCACGATGTACTAATGTGGCATATTAAGCATAGTATCGCTATGAAATTCCCTTTTAGCTGATCTTAAGATTAAAATGCGCTTAGTTCGCTTGGCCTCGCCGCTAAATTGCAGAACTAAATCGCCTGCCCAAAACTATTACTTATTAACAATAGAAGTTATTCATGAAAATCAATCGCTGGTATTCGGTGTTTTAAATCTAGCAGAAGAGGTAGTTTTCATACCACATCGAACAGAGATGAACCCATTCCCAAACCCGCAAGTCGCTCATAATATGGCTTCCCCACGACTCAGTGACAGAAATCTCCACTGAGTTTGCTAGTTCCTACAGTTCTCGGGTTCTCAGTCTAAGAGATTCTATGCAGGATGCAAGGCATAGAAGTAGCCCTAGGTAATAGTCATAGGTAAGACGGTCTTTAGAGGCGACCCAATTGAGGCAGTTTAAACAATCTTGAGATTCGACCTTACCACCGGGGCCAACGCGTCAGTGGTCCCATAATCGGGAGGTTTATAAACTAATAGAGAGCTAGAGAATACGCTTCGGTGTCGAATAGAGCTATCTGCATAGTGGTTCCGGGTGGAGAGATAAGTTACATCGCGGTATGGATGCACGGTCATATTTTTCCGTAAGAGAATTTCCTTTTGGTCGAAGCGCGCCATCAAAAAAACAAAAACCATGTAAATGCATTCGGATTTCTTGCTTGGTGTATTTCACTTCTTTCCGGCTTACAACTACTCATCATTTACTCTGTTAGTCAGAGTTTCTTGGCTTCAAAATAAATGATAGGCTGGCCGGTCTTGCTAAGCATCGGGCCTTAATACGGATCCGGATAGAAAAGAGACAACCGCCAAGGACCGTCTTTCGGCCAGTAGTACATATTTGTACGATTGCGATCAGTCTCGATGAGTTGTCTTTATATTGAGTGAAGTACTCCTATCTATCTAGCCTTGGCGGATATTCCACGTAGAACTTACCCGATACGGCGGGAGTAAAGAAACCAGTAGACTTTTGTTGGCCCGGTCGTTGGAACCGAGTAAAGTAGGGTATTAATAAAAAGGGGGCAAATATAGGGGCTAGACCAGTGTTATCGATTATCAATCTATCGTGTAATCAAATATGTGCTAACTTTGTAGATGATCTCCGGAACGTACGAGCGGTTTGGATGGATAAGAATTATATCTTCTCTCTATATCTCTTGCCCTGCGCTTCCTATTCAACCGCGGCGGCTCTTGTCTGCCGGATAATAATGCAATACGCCGCCAAGATCCCTAAATCCGATGTTCCACGAACCCCCAAGGCCTTTCTCCAGCTATCCATTTAGCCAAAGTTGATCGTAGCTATCATCGGAAGCATCGCGCTGCGCTGCTCGCATGTTAATACGTTTCATTGGGTATATGGCTATAAACTACTCCGCACTGGAAGTGACGAGGGACGTGGAGCTTGAATTTTCCCAAGAAGCGATGCCTGCACTGGGGAGAACTCGCATTGTTGGTATAAAGGATGGCTTGGTCACCTATGCCGGTGTTCATAGGAACCGTTAAGGGTATCGGAGATATAGAGTTAGGCTAGAGTCCAGAGAACCGACATGGCGGGCCAACTCTTTGCGTTAGGGCTATTTGCCGCCACGAGGGTTGTCGCGCAGACAGTAGCTACCTATGACTATATCGTTGTGGGTTCGGGTCCCGGAGGCGCACCACTCGCAGCTAACCTCGCGCGAGCGGGCTACCCGACGTTGCTGCTAGAGGCAGGTGATGACCTAGGGAACAACAAGAACTATTCAGAGATGGTCAACTTCAACCTTGCGGCGAACGATGAGAAATCACGATGGGACTTCTTCGTCAAGCACTCTTCGGACGAGGAGCGTGAGGGCAAGTATGAGCACACGACGTGGCGCAAACCTGACGGATCTTTCTACGTTGGCCTCGACCCTCCAGAGGGATCTGAACGACTGGGCATCTATTACCCACGTTCGGCGACACTTGGAGGTTGCGCTAGTATGTAACATCAAAGTTCTTTTACCCCTGGTGATCTATCTTAAGAGTCTAGGTTTCCCGAACGAATTGATCGAGGAATACAACTTCCCTAAGAGCTCACATGAAAGAAATGTTAACTGACACTATCAAAAGTGCATAACGGTGGTGTTTGTGCGCTCCCCTCTGACGATGACTGGAACGCGATCGCCGAGAGCACTGGAGACGACACATGGTTAGCGAAGAATATGCGACAATACTTCGAGAGGATAGAGACGGCTCACTACGTACCCCCTGAAATTCCTGGACATGGATACACCGGATACCTCAATCTCACAATTAGCGACCCTGCCTTCATGCAGCAGTCATCTGACGTGCGGGACATCGCAAGTAGTATCATTAAGGTGACGGGTGGCGATGTAACCCGGGATATTAATGCGTTAGATCCGGATCGAGACCAGTCCACGGGCGTCTTCGGGCTTGCCAGTCACGCTGATCCTACCGGGCATCGCGTTGGTACTAACACTTATATCCGGGCAACTTTGGATGATCCAGCCAAGTACCCCCTAACCGTCCAGCTCCGAAGTCTCGTTACTAAGGTACTATTTTCGGAGGATTCCGAGGAGCCAACTGCAATTGGTGTCGAAGTCCTCCGTGGCCAATCTCTGTACAAAGCCGATCCACGCTACAACGGTACCAAGGGAGAGGTTGTCCAGATATTCGCTAAGAGGGAAGTCATCGTCTCCGGAGGCGCATTTAACACGCCGCAGATACTCAAGCTTAGCGGCATCGGGCCGGCCGAAGAGCTGGAAAAGTTCGACATTCCCGTCGTAAAAGACCTTCCCGGCGTAGGCGAGAAACTGGCAGACAACTACGAAGGAGGCGTGCTGGCGCTAGCTAGTAAGCCGTTGAACGGGTCGTCGGGCCCGATCGCAGTACAGCTCAAGACACCTACGGCGCGCAAGAACCGTAACATCTATGCCTGGTGCAAGTCCTTCTCCTTTGAAGGGTTCTGGCCTGGCTACCCAACCGAGTATGGCCCGTCACAGTACGAGTGCGCGTTCGTACATATGAACCCGCGGTCGCAGGCTGGATACGTCCACCTGCGCTCAAATGATCCGCAGGAGCCGCCAGAGATCAACTTCAACTTCTTCGAGCACGGTGGGGATGAAGATCTGACTGAGATGTTAGACGCGGCAAAGACGTTCCGGAAGGCCAGTATGTAACATCTGGAATTGCCCCTCACTCCCCTTTTGGCTTCATATCGAGGCGATTTGAACACAGCTGCTTTCAAGACATGACTTAAACCCCTTAAGCTTCCTACTAGAAGAAGTACTTGCTAACTCTCATTTCCAAAGTCACGTCAGTCGGCGAGCCAATCGGGCCCTTTAATGAAAAGCACCCATGTCCAGGCATAAATCAGAACTGCACAGACGCAGCGCAGAAGGGGTTCTTGAAACTGCAAACCTACTCGCACCACGCCTCAAGTACATGCGGGATCGGACCCGCGGACGATAGGTTAGCGGTGTTGGACTCGAAGTTTAGGGTCCATGGCGTAAAGAACCTGCGCGTCGTTGACGCATCTTCTTTTCCGGCCGTTCCCGGCGCATTCCCGGTCTGCCCAGTCTTCAGTAAGTGAAATCTAAAAAAAACCCTTTTAGCCTATTCCAGGACTCGGGACCGCCGAGTAGAGTTACTTATCGAATCCCCTGGAACATATATCAATTCCGTGAGTTCTATGAGTAGTAGTAGTAGTTGCTGACACTCGATTTAAAGTGCTTGCGGAAAAAGCAACAGATGACATTTTAAGAGACGCCGAAGTTACTGCCCGTTCCGCATAAATCAAAAATAGGAGGTGCATGTTTAGAAGATAGAAGATAGAGGAGATTATGATGGAGAATGGGCTGTATGATTGGAGGGCGAGTAGCTGATAGATGTATGTAATTCAGACTGCTCATAATGTATTTTTTTTCTATAGACCGTCTACCAATAGTATTATCTTGCTTGTACTAGTAAATCTGCATTATATACCACCCACCTACTTTCTATCATATCTAAAATAAGAATTCGTAAAACCCAAAACTAGATACTTCATACTAACTTCTATAAGACTCCACAAACATCGGTTGTGTATACTCTATTTTATTAAAGGCTAGAATAGAGCCCAAGAGATGTAAGGGCATGCTACCTACCAGAAGGTATCGTTGCCATATAGAAATTATGGAAGAAGATGAAAGGGGAAAATCCAGCATCCTACATCGTCTTAATCTCAGAGAATCATAGGGAACGACCAACTGAGCCGCGGAATCGTTGACAGGCAGCGACATGGGACATATGCTCATGCTTACAGGTGAACCTTTCGCTACACTTGCAATAATAATAAGCTTCACGAACCGGCCTACGACAGCATGTAATGTGGCAAAGGTAGCTGTCCTTTCGGGGAGAGACGTATCTACACCGGCATCGGTATACTGGATCGGTTTTCTTCCGATGGACAGTGTCCTGGTGCCGCTTCAGGTGGCTCCCCGTGCTTAAGACTTTATGGCATATTTTGCATTGATACGGTGCTGTCGACGTGGGGATTTGAGGCGATCTACTGGACGACATGTTAGCAACCTGGATAGCCGACGTCTAGATTTGAAGTCTATTCGCTGAAGCTATGACGGAAACTTCGAGTCGTCTTATAGCAACTACTAAACAAAGTATAACCGAGGGACAATAAGATTATTGTTACAAGGAACAAAGAATCAAAGTAAGGTTTGTTTATGGAGTAAAGGGGTATGTTCTCAATTGCCAGGGAGACATGGCACATCGTTCAATTGGGTATATAGCTGTGTCTCGCTGGCAATTGAGGACATAATAGGTGCCTAGTATGATGATGGACTGAGTAGGGAGGCAATGGTATGATCCGAATTAAATTATCATCTAAGATAGCTGTTAGGATTCTAGAGGAAGCGTTTAGAATACATGAAGCCTTTAGTAGGTATGTATTAGATACCTAGCCACAGGTTTCGCAACTTAGGGTGAAGTTCTTTGCTGAACAAAGAGTTGCTTCCATGCATCCTAAGCCCATTTCGTAACAATGGTCTCTTATTCTCAGGTACGAATAACCAAAAGGTCGTCATTGTTTCAATAACCGGGTAATTTGGTTCCTCGAGCTTACCTATTACCGCACACAGATTACCCTCCGAAACTCCGGTAATTAGGTACATAAAAACATTCTTGCCCCCGTAGACCATAGCTTCGAATACTATGGTATTCTGTATACTCTTGAGATGTTTATTGAAAAGCCGAAATACCTAGCCCAAGCCGTCTAATAGATGTCCAAGGAATTAACCATGTAATAAGGCTATAGAGAATCCAGTGGGGATTTAGCGCTTAGAGGACTTCCGCCAAACACCTGTTCAATAGGCACCTCTGGATTGTTCATTCGATGATTGCGAACCGAATTCGAGTCGCGCAAGCTCGTTAAGTCGGTTACCCCATGTACCTTAAACAATGGCTTGCCATGGTTCAGATTAGTTGCTGGGGCACTTGATTGACTCTCCAGCTCGTATCTTGAGTTTCTCCTGTAACTTGGTAAAATTGACTGACTTGTAACCTTCCTGGTAGATGATGCAATGCTGGAGAAACCCCCGGCTTTAGATAGGTTCTTGACAAAGGCTTTTGCCACTGGTAGGCATGCTACAGCAAAGCCAGCTGCCATCTCAAGCAAGGTCCAAAGGCCCGTAAACCATGTATAGTAGGTATCATCGGATTGACGTTGGAGTACAACAGAGTAAAATATGCAGATGGTTGAAGATACACATGCACTAAGATAATCAGTAAGCAGTATTTGAGGTCAAACATTGCGTGACTTACAAAATAGCTATCAAGAAAATGATCGAAATTCCAGCCTTCTCTTTCCGGGATAAGTTCAACCGCCAAATTACGACCTGTGGCAGGATCAAAATAATTATATCTGATGCCGCGCTTATGCTGGCTGACGCGCTAATAAGAGCCTTTATATCAATACAACTGCCCTCTGTAATTAACGGATCCCATGCTTTAGCAATTGGGTAGCAAGAAAAGATTTCTATGAATCTGCCGATGAAATAATGGATGAAGTTGACCGCAATTATGAATATCGTGGTCCAATACAATGCCCTTGGCTTTTTGATAGGCATAAATATTTTTATGTATTGTATCAATATCGAAAATTTGACGAAAAACATACATATACCGTATAACACAGATGCAACATGGAAATACTAAACATTTAAACGTTAGGTTTCGTGTATTTTAAGTCTTTTCTAGGTGTTTGAGGAGAAGAAAAGTGAATTGGTTTTCAGGGAACTGACATAAAGAAATGGTCCTAAATCTCCGAGTCGGACGTTCCACTGGTGTACACCAGGTGCATGTTTCACAGCGAGAAATGCACACACGATTTCCCCGATGAAGATAGCCTAATAGTGTTAACAAGGAAATATATAAGAGGACGAGATAGTAATACCCAGCCAAGAAAGACAGAATCTATTCTAGTTAGTCACCGATTAACATCCCAAAGGAGGTTACTGACAATCCGCAATATCCACCTGGCGAATGATCCTAATACTCGTGTACAGACGCATAGCTACCAAAGTCGTAGACACTATTAGACAGGCAGTGGGTATAGCTATTGACGCGGTTCTATGACTGGGCGGGTTGTCGAACTGTGGAATGACGCCGGCGGGAGGGGCGAGTGCCGGCCCATTGAGCAGAGCTTCAAGTTTCTCAGGACTAAGATCGTTCATAGCTATTCGACAATGTGTTCAAGCCGAAGTCTATGATTACATCAATGGAGACCTAGACTGGCAGGTCGTTTTATTCCGCTACTTTGATTTTTCTTAGCTACCTGAAGCTTCATTATAGTATACATTATATGCACATGAATACTGATGCAGGCTGGCTGACCCCAAAATATCGTTTAATTTGCTGGTTGGTATCCCTATGCAGGTTACCGGCTCAGCCTACTTTGCATATAAAATAATGCTCATCTTCGACATGCCGATTATTCTATATTAATTTTTAATTTAGGTACCTAGGTACCTACCTACCTATCTATAAAACTGCGCATACCACGTCGTAACCGATGAAGGGGGCTTGTTGTTTTCCCCGACCAGTGTAAGCCAGTCCAATTCGGTAATCGGATCTAGAACCACAGCCAGCTGTAAATTCAGATAATAATAATACAAGCTAAGACAACTTATTAGTAGGGGAATTATATAAGTTTCATTGGTGTGCTAGAGTTAAAAGATGTTTATAACTCTTTATAATACCATATCTTGATAGCAGCTCAATGCAAGCTTGGCGCGAACGTATGTCGATGTCTCTCTGGCAGGCGATTCTAACTACACCCGAGCAATCGCGCCCTCTTATGATGTTATTTGCATCTATTATACAATACCTAGCCGCGGATACTACTTGATGTGAAGTAACATATATGCACACGCCTCAAATATCAGCCAATTAAGTTAGGGAGGCTTGATGACTGCATATATTTACTGGCTCAATAATGCCACTTTATATGCAGCCCCTTGAAAACCTTTCCGAAACTAAATATCGAGTAAGTTTGATGTTTTTGAATATTATTAGGAGATAATTACTTACCTAGGTAGGTACCCCTTAGATAGTTGTAGATTGATATCGTTTGTTCTATCGCAATTGAAGTTAGATCTAACATGACGGCCCCTTTTAAGATTAGGTACCTATATGGTACCAAACTACCTCTTAAGATTTATACAACTATGGGTGTATTGACTCCCCAGGTGGCATTGCATGGATAATGCAGATGATTAAATAACTTACCATAGGAGATCTTACTGCTTTATCGGCAGCTACAATTGGCAATCTATAAACAGCATATACTAGACCTCTGTTACACTATCCGAGGCTACACGGCTCTGGGTCATTTATTAGTGTATTAGTATATTAGTATATGCCGGATCTAGGAGGTAGTGTCGCATATCTGTGTTTGGCCTGTCTGTTTCTCTTGTAAGACCATTCCCCCCCCCCCCCTCCCCCCCTCCCCCCCCTCCTCCTCCGCTATGGTAGGTTATATGTTGTATAACGTAGGCAAGCGCAGCCCGCCAATTCAAATAGTTGGTCTGGGTCACTGCGATGAGGATATATATCTTTTTAAAACATTGATTCGTACCGTGTACCAAGCAAAGCTTGGTCTAAATGTCTCTACACTAAATTACTTGCATGTCCTGGAATCATTTTTTAGCCTTTCTCCTTTCTCCTTTCTCTAATAAGGCTCGGGTTCGAATCATTGCGGGTTCACTTTCTTTTTTTCTTTTTAATTATTTTTTTTTACATTCTTTCATCTCTCTTTTGCCCAAGTCATGAAGTATTCTTTATACTTTACGATTAGCATAACTTATTCTAATTACGATGCGTTCGATGCGAACTTATGAACGAAATGGGCTCTAACCTCTTGATTCCTGCGCTCTTTAGACCTTGATCCCATGAAGGTAGATGCTAAGCCTATTGCCCTATTCTTATTAACCCGGTTTATAAAGTAATAGGAGTCGAAATAAAAGCATATGCCTAGGTTGAAAGCTCTTTAGGTGATAGGATTGACCCTTCGCTAAAAAGCATATATTGTAACATTGATATTAATCAGGACTTTACCTGTAGTAGCTTGAACCCTTCGGAACGGTAGGAGAGATCTTATGCTAAAAGAGATGAATGGTAGTATCGCTGTTTTCTTATATTTGCTTTGGACTGATGGACCACCCGTAATGCCCACACCAAGACATTTAATGCATGGCGCAAGATAATAGATCTCGGGGACGAACGCCATGGATATTACAGAATCACAGACGTCGCAGACATTCACTACATGTATTACTAGTGCTAGAGACAGCCTGTGACCTGTGAATAGTAGCACTTCTTATCCTCTCACCAACATCGTTTCTTTCCTCAGCCCATTTGCGCGCTCCCGCGAAGGCGCACTTAACTATGGGAGCCATAGAAGACATTGCAGACAACTACTCCCAAGGCCAAATGATTGCCGTTGGGGTAGCTTTCACGATATTGCCCATCACCGCCGTCGCCCTGCGGCTGTGGGCCAAGTTCCTCTGCCAAAAAGGCATCAAATTAGACGATTATTTGGTTATCGCTGCAATGGTATGTTGTATCAAAAGTGCACTTCTATCGAGATATCTAATTGATTGTCTGATATAGGCTGTTGCTATCGGTTGCGCTTCGGTGCAGCTTGTTGCCGCTGTTGATGGCCAGCTTGGTCAACATCAATCAACTACTCCCGACGGGGAGCCGATTCTTGATGACCCTCGATTTGTTATTTACGAGAAAGTATGTTAAGAGCCAGCTTTAGCAATGGCTGGTGCCAACGTTTTATGTATTATAGTGTAAACTTGCGGTGAACATCCTCTCCACTGTCGGCCTCGGATTTGTGAAATCGTCCATCCTGGTCTTCTACACGAACATCTTCTTTGGCAGGCCGTTCGAGATCGCCTCAAAAGTAGTGCTGGGCCTCGTTATCGGCTGGACGGTCTCATTCTTTTTCGCTAACCTCTTCACCTGCTATCCGATAACTCCGTTCATCGAGTTCTTTTATCACAATGACTGCGTGGACGGGCTCGCGCTGTGGTACGCCATGGCCATTTCGGATATTATCATAGATGTGATTATTCTCATCATGCCGATACCGATGGTTCTCAAGTTACATTTGCCGTGGACTCAGAAGTTAGGAGTGTTGGCTATGTTCTTGTTGGGTGCTACGTGCGTTTTCCCTCCTACATCCCTCATTTATATGATAGTGTAGCACTAATTATGCCGTAGAGTGTGTGCATTCAGCCTCACTCGTGCGCTCATCTACGTTCACGTGGGTGAGAGCCTGGAACATCATTATAATGACGAGACCTGTACGGTACCTTGTCTATGTAGCATTACATACCTACCTAATGGTTCTGGTGGCTAATTTCATGTAGACTACACTTCACCTGTCTTCTTCTGGGCTGTCATTGAGCTATCTACCGCGGTCCTCAGCGCCTGTCTTCCAACTTATCGGCCAATCTGGCTCCTGCTTCGCGGCCGGCCGATTAAGCAGAGGAACCAGAGCTCTTACTATGCACGTAATCATGGTAGCAGCGGTCTAGGCAGTAGTAAGCGGGAGTACCCTTTGGGGTCTGACATGGACTACAAGGATGACATCAGGCTCACCGATGGTTTACGCACAGCGGATGTAGAGATCAATGCTCAGAGTAACCGCTCAGATGAGCAACTTCCTTCAAATCATGGAATTACCATCGAGCGCAGTGTTCATATAGGTAGCCAACCCGCGGAGACTATATGAAAATAGTAATGTATGATGATATGGTGTTTTGAGGAGTATCCTATGGGCAGAAAGAAAAGGAAAGCTTAGTATTAAGGTCTATGTTCATCCCCGGGACTTAATTTATGTACCTAACTGTAACATGAGGATGTAAGCTGGTATTAGCCTAATCCTACGGTGCGGTAACGTCCACAGTAATAAATAAATCTAATTAATTTCGGAAATAATTGAATAGACAGGAAAGAGTTTATAGCATTTATATGCTATAATAAAGTACCTACCTGTAAATGGTAACAGGATTGCTAGTTGCTCAAGGTCCAACTACGTCCGCTTCACGTCTAGGAAATAAATTGAGGAATATCAGACCATCAATTCGACATCATAAAACCCGGATGATACAATCAACAAGCCATCAATCTCTGACCTGAATTCACTCTACCTTATCTTCGAGTAGCTGTCACTAACACGGCCGGCCAGGTGAACTGCTGCGTTTCACCCTCACCTCCGAATTGATCGTTGAGTTGCTGGAACAACTGGTCGATTTCCGCATCTCTATCCCCAATAACTTCCTTGAAGCCCGGGAAGAGCACGCGGAAATAATTCTTTAGCTCGGCAATATCCCAGTCATTGCGCCACCACTCCGGATCCTCACGCTCTTCTACACGCTCGCTAGGCTGGACGCTGCTAGTCGTGCTGATCGGAAACCCGCACGCCTCTTCCCCAAAGAAACACAACGTGGCACTAGGATTCCACTTGATCCTTCGTACGTCCGTCCATACCTCTGGGTCTAGAGCGATGCAGTCAAGCCATGACTCCATGCCCTCGGCTGCCCGCTGGAAGCCCGCCTTGCGCCGCGCGCCACTGCCACGGATCACTTTGGACCAGTTGCGCACCATGATATCGTCTATCAGCGGCTGCGCCTCGGCGCGTAGCTTAGGGTCTACAAATGTTGGACGCCCGTAGAACCAAAAAGCTAGGGTGCCGCCGGGTCGGAGCAAACGTCGGAAGTTCTCAAGCGCCACGCGCTCGTCCATTAGCACCATAGCCTCGGCGGCGGCGATAAGGTCAGTAGAGCCGGGTGGGTGGTGCTCGATCAAGTGTTCCCCCATGCAGTGAGTGAATGAGATGCGCTGGCCGAAGTCAACAGCAAGTCGGCGCCGCGCAACGGATAGGTGAGTGTCGTTCATATCTGAGGCAACAACATGAGCGAAGCGCGAGGCTAGCTCGGCCGAGACCTGACCAGCACCGCAACCGACATCGTGCGCGATTCCCCACCGAGATGAGTGAGCGGCATGGTGATTGTAAATCTCGTTGTAGAACGCGGCGCTGTAATGTGGCCGTGTTGAGACATAGTCATCCCAGAACTTGGAGTCGTCGGCCGAAACACGCCAGAAGTTCTCCGAGTCTTCCTCTTGATGCCTGAGCGTGGTAGTGCTACTGGAGTGCCTTACCCTGGTGGCCGGCCCACCCCGCAGCTGATTGCCTCGGATTACATACCGCTGGAACCTGGTCGTGGCGTTTCTTACTGGGCTTAGGCCGTAGTGATACAAACGGGAGCACGGTCGCGCCGCCCGCAGTAAGGAGAAGAGAGAGTTATACCTTGGATATCTCATACTTCTCCAGAGATCAAATATGTCTGATCCATCCCAGCGGTGGTAAGCGTAGAATACATTTATTTATCATCTATCTAGTATTATAATATGGTTAACGATCGGATCGTAGCCCGAATCCTTCGCAAGTGGGACTTTTTAAGATCATCCAGGATGAGAAATGGGGTATACAGGGGTACTCAGGTTCTTCTTGGCTGCTTGGGCGGATAGAACCGTGCCGGCACGGGAGTTTAAGGGCCCTTGCAAGTAGTATCACGACGGGAACCGAGCAATCGGAAAGCAACTCCTTTCTTGTGCAAAGAGCTATAAACCTTAGGTACCTAAGGTATTTCTTAAGATCGTAGGCCTGTACAAGCCACCCCCGCCATTGCCTTGTATGGCTGGCTCATGGTTATACGTTCACGCTCATACATATGGCCTGTGTCCTGGCGTATCCGCCGGGTCAGGTTCAGCGGATTGTTACCTGTTCTCCCCTGAAATGGCCTCGGAGTTAGCTACTACGATAGCCATTAAAAAGGTATCAAAGGCATTTTCATATAATATGTGCTTTCAATATTATAGTCGATCAGACATATGGAAATGTGGTCAACGACATACCGAAAGCGATATTAATCTCGTAAATACCTACCTATTGATGTTCTCTTTAGAAAACGACTTCATAGGCGCATAAACGCGGAAATGACAGCGTATGTTTCGTCGAAACATTGATCTCTACCCCCTAAGAGAGTAACTCGCATATTTATCGATCACTTCCGGGTTTTCCTACTGGGGGCAGACAATAAAGACGCAGATCTCTTCCTCGGAATGCTCAAGGTGCAGCTTGTGGGGAGCTGAATGCATACTGCATTAGGTACCTACATAGCGACAAAAACCGGGGTATCTCGCGATTACGCTCGAAGCGGTAGCGTGGCTTACACGAGGCGCAATGATGGGACTGAGGTGAGCCATAGTCTCCTCTTGCGTTGACGTCGGAACCCCTGATCACAATTTATTTACCATGCTACTGAAAAATGATTTTCCTAGGGGTGCAATGCCCCTCCGGCTCTCCTGATATCGGTTGGATCATACCCTATTGGTTTTCGTTCAAGGAACGAAGCCATGATGTAGGGTGGTAATATTACATAGGGATAGAACGCTAGGCTATCCTAACGGACCTAAATCCGACTCAGTAATAGGGAACGAAGCAGCGACATATTATAATACAGACTTCGTACATAGTATACCCGGGAAGACAAGGTGTATTGTGTATTCGCAACAATATATGCACATCAACCCTTAGCTTCCGTCGTGGCGGCCGGGAATTGAGACACACCTCACCCTGTATAGATCCTGTGAGGGTCTCGTCCCATATCCAAGTATGTGTTCCAGATACGTTATTCTGGATTCGACTACGTCCACTAGCTTCTAGCTAGATCAAAATGCGATCTTATGCACGAGTCTTTGGCCTCCTAGCCAGTATTAGCGTCTGCAATGCCGGCATAAGTGTTGTTAGTTCAATCGATGATGACTTGAAGAAGCTACTCTCATCAGGTGCAACTATCTCCCACGATGCCTCCATAGCACCGCGTTGGAGCGAGTTTCATGCTCCCCAACCTGGTACTATCGTATCGGTCGCAACCGAAGCTGATGTGGAGGCGACTGTCTGTTACACCCTGTATTACATCGCCAAAGAGTAGCGCTGATATCTTATAGGCTCAATACTGCCTCGAGAAGAACATCCCTTTCTTCGCTCAGAATGGAGGCCACGGCTGGAGCAGCTCGTGGCACCTAGGCGAAAACGGCCTTATGATCAACCTCCGCGGCCTCAACACCGTGGTATTTAACGATGATAAAACACAAGCACGTATTGGAGGAGGTGCGAGCATACAAGAAGTTATCGACGCAGCATACAACAATGATGTTCAAGTTCTAACGGGCAATTGTAACTGCGTTGGATATCTCGGCGCGGGGCTTGGAGGGGGTTACGGTAACTTGATGGGTCTCTATGGCTTCAGTGTCGACAATTACCTCTCCATAAACGTCGTGCTAGCGAACGGGAGCCTCGTTATGGTGGGCCCCGAAAATGAAGACCTCTGGTGGGCTCTCCGCGGCGCGGGCCCCAACTTCGGTGTTGTCACTTCTATCGTGAGTAAGACGACGCCCTTACCGCAGGAACAGAATATGGCTTGGGTAGGCGGATTATACTTTACTGAAGATAAGGTCGAGCAGATCGCGCAGGGTATCGAGGATCTGAAGCTGGAGGCACATATGAATATCTTCCTGTATTTCGTAACGACAGGGGCTCCGGACTATACGCCGACGGTGCTCGTAACGGTCTTCTACTACGGCACGGAGGCGGATGGCCGTGCAGCATTTAAGCCAATCCTAGATATTGGGCCCTACAAGGATACGACGGCAGTGCTGCCGCAGAACCAGTGGAATGCGGGGGCAGACGGCTTCTGCGTCAAGGGAGAGCGCAAGCCTACGTACGCCGCCGGCTTTAGTCACATGGTCCCATCGACCTGGCGTCAGGTCTGGACCGCATTCACCGAGTTTCTCAAGAATCCCGACACAGGCTCTACTTCTGTCGTCGTCGAGTGCTACTCGCTTGACAAGGCGCGGTCGATCGCTTCGGATTCGGCATCGTTTCCGAATCGCGACGTCCGCTTCAACGGCTTTGTCATCGCTTGGTACCCGGACCCGGCCCTCGACAGTACAGCTGAGGCGTTCGGCTCCAAGCTGCGTGACTTATGGCGGGCGGATAGTGAGCTACCGACTAACCGCACGTAAGTATTCCTCTTCAGCCTTAAATAGCATCAATTTTCGCCGTTGACACTTAGCACTAGATACGTTAACTTCGCTTACGGAGACGAAACCAACGATATCGTTTACCATGATAGCACAACTAGACTTCAGCAGCTCAAGAAGCAATATGACCCCAACAATATATTTAATCAGTGGTTCGACCTGCAATGATGGGCTTGGATCTTTGCGTGTTAAGGGCTCCGAGAGAAATATTTACCTATACTAGGATTCGGTGTTTTAAAAAATAGCCCAATCTAGTATATATTGATAATTGTGGATATGTATAAGGGGTGTGTATAATAAATCCGTTATATTCGATGCCTTCTCGAAATTTCTACAAACCATGATTCCATCTTGTATAATCGTTTAGTACATCCTTTTCACATGGTCATCTTCAGAGGTTCATCATTCCGCATTCAAGCGCCTGCAGCGATGATATCAGCAGCTTGTTTTACAACCCCGTACAGGCTCGCCATGGGATATCCTCCCACAGGGCTTGGGAAAACACTGGCGTCGCAGATCCTAAGGCTTTGAACACCCTTGACCCTGAGATCGCCGTCCACGACCTTTCCCATGGCACAGCTACCCATAGCGTGGAAATGAGCGACGCCGACGGCCCTGATTCTGTCCTCACTTTTGCTGTCAGAGGACTCTAGCGTAAGTGGATTTAAACCCGGTGGTGGTAACTCGGACTCGATATAGTCCTCTAAATCTTCCGTACCAAGCATGACATTAAGTAGACGTCGCACACCGTGAATAAGAGAAGCATGGTCGAGGGCGGTTGTGAAATAGTTCGGCTCAATATGCGGGGTGGGGCTGTCGATATCTTTAGATAGAGACACACAACCGCGACTGCTGGGTAATGTGAGCATAGTAGAAGTGCAAAGTACGCTGCCGTCGGAGGAAAAGCCGGGCGCGAGGGCGTGATAAAAGATTAGCGTTTCCACGAACACCCGACCCGGCTGTAGTAAGGCCTCGCGCTCCGCACCTACAATACCGTCTTCATCAAGGGCTTTCTCTAGGATATCGCGCGGAAGCCCTTCGTTAGCGCTGAAGTCACCCGACATGTCTGCTACAAAGGCTGGGTTAGATAGGTTAGGGTGGCCTAGCACAAGTCCACGAGAAGGATCTTTGATCTTGAACCATTGGAACAAGGCAAAATGGTCAAAATATTGTTGACCGACGCTAGGAAGGGCCTGTACCAAAGGTATATTGTTCTCAGAGAAGACTGAGGGTTCTCCGATACCTGAACGAAGTAAGAGGCGTGGTGTCTGCAGCGTACCCGCGGAGAGGATGATTTCTTTCCTTACTCTAACCGTCTGTCCATTTTCAAGCTTTACACCTATCGCCTTTGGTGTCCCGTCTCCTTCGAATAATATCTGCGAGACCGTAGTGGATGTCCTCACATCCACCCCTTTTAATGGATACGCGAGGTGGCTAGGCCGCCTCTTTCCATCCTCCCAGGTTTCGTAGAAGTCGCCCAGTCCAGCTAAGCGGTTCGCAAAGGGATCGAGATTTCTCTTTAGACCGACTTCCTTCCACGCCCTCTCTACTGGGTCGCGGAGAGGACACTTCCTGGCCGCATGGCTTGCCTTGGTCGGGGTAATTTTCAACGGGCCGTCAAAGCCGTGCTTCTTGGCGCTAGCACTGGTGTCGTAGAAGCTTTCAGTGCGCCTAAAATAAGGCAGCAAGCCAGCATAGCTCCAACGGATATCCCCGCCTAGTTTCACAGCCTAGACATCGTAGTCTGGATCATCGCCGCGTGACCAGCCTCCGTAGTTAAGTACGCTACCGCCACCAAGCGTCTTACCATGTGTTAAAGTATGTGTACGGCCCGCCGTAGACTGCGTCGCGGCAGTTTGAAATTGCTAGTCCAGAGCACCACCTTGGAGAGCAAAGCCTCCGAAGGTTGAGACGACATCGTGTTCCGGGTCAGGGTCCTGGCCGGCCTCAAGAACAAGGATGGAACTATTCGGCAGAGAACGTCTTAGGCGTGAAGCTAGAGCGCAGCCGCTGAGTCCCCCGCCAACGATTATATAGTCTACGGCCGTTGATTCTGTCATGATTTGTTTAGGGAACCTCACCTTAGGTACCTAACCTATATAGAAAATGGATAAAATGTGAAAGGAGAGGATTGCGGATTTATTACCTGAGACTCTTCATACCGCTATGTTGGAAAGCTTGCATCAGACCGACGCAAGGAAGAGGCGTAACTCCATAGGAGGTGCCTTACCTAGCTAAGGTAGGTAGGTAGGTATGTATCACAGAAGAGCTTATATGATTCCCTTCAAGTGCTTTACGTACCTAAAGTTCTCAAGATCCAGTTTCTTTCCCTCCATCCATTCTTGAGTTGAGATTTAGGTACGTACTTCTTTTACCAAATTACCTAATGTACTTCGTACAAAGTACCTAAAGACATCAAGAGTCGAGCTAGTGGGGTACCTGACAAGGTTCCACTTAGCGCTGATAAGATGGATAACGACGGATAACGATAACGATAACTTTAATTTTTGCTAGCCAGGTACATTATTTTTTAATCTACAATTCGCATCCATCACCTTTCTAGCGAACTCCTCGCCGCCTGTATTCTATAATTTGCTTCAATATGGGCAAGAGAAAGGTCGCAGCCCTCGAGAAGATCGAGGCAGATCTTGCCGGTCTTCAGTATAAAATTCGCAAGGATCCAGAGTATGCATACCAATCTTTCCCGCTTCGATAATGTCATGTCTGACCCGTTCGTCTATAGGGCATATGAGAAGGAGTTCATTGAGAATTGGCAACAGTTCGATGCTGCGCACGAAAAGTTTCTGGCTGCTCCCGTAGGCGCCGACTCTAACTCCCTCATAACTTTCCGCGAGCAGATAGATTTGAGTATGCGACCTCCGCCTATTTTATATCCTTAAGCTCATAGTGTTGATAGTTGCCCATTGCGCCGAGCTGTATCCTCAGATAGCTGCGACATTCCCCGACGACCTCAAAGATGTACTTACGAAGCATCATGCTGTGTTGGAACCTACGCTACGAGAGAAGATAGTATCTAGCCTTACACTACTGCGGCGGAAAGATGTTATCGACAGCAACTATCTCCTCACTACCCTGTTTCCTATTCTCATCAGCACTCCGTCCAAATCCTTAAGAATGATCCTCTACCAGAAGATATTGAGCGATATACGGAACACAAATACGAAGACAAAAAATCACCGAGTAAACCGGACTATGCAAACCGTCCTCTATAACCTCGTTACTTCAGATCGCTCTTCTCCGAAAGCTTTATGGGCCGTCAAGTTGGTACGGGAATTATGGCGGCGTCAAATCTGGAATGACGCTAAAACCGTTGATATTATGCGCCAAGCTTGCCTGGCAGAAAATGAGAAGGTGATTGCGGGAGGTGTAAGATTTTTCCTTGGGGGAGACAAAGAACGTGAAGAGTATGAGGATGAAAGCAGCGACGAGGAGACGATCGATATTAAAAAGGTTAAACACTCAATCGAGATCAACAAGAAGACGAAGAAATCGAAAAAGGCTCTCGACAGGGCTGTCGACAAAGTCAAGAGGCAGGACCGCAAGAAGAATGCACCACATCCGCTCAACTTTTCAGCACTACATCTACTACAGGATCCTCAAGGCTTTAGCGAGAATTTATTCGAGAAGCACCTCCAGAATTCTAAGTCTAGGCTTTCTCTCGAGAGTAAGCTTCTCGTCTTGCAGCTCGTCACCCGCCTAGTTGGACTGCACAAGTTGACTGTTATCTCTCTTTACTCCTGGTTCATCAAGTATCTATCTCCTAGACAGCAGTCAGCCTCGTCTTTCCTGGCGTCGCTCGCTCAAGGGACTCACAATCTAGTACCCCCAGATGCAATTGAGCCGTTGATACAAAAGATTGCAAACGAGTTTGTATCTGAAGCATCAGCATCGGAAGTCTGCTCTGCAGGTCTCAACGCAATCCGCGAGATATGTGCTCGACAACCGCTAGCAATGAACGAAACACTATTACAGGACTTGGTCGAATACAGGAAGAGCAAGGACAAGGGAGTCATGATGGCTGCGAAGGGTCTGCTTTCACTGTACCGCGAAAAGGGCGCGGATATGCTGAGAAAGAAAGATCGTGGCAAGGACGCGACCATGGGTCTCAGGAGCGGGGGTTTGAAGCAGCCGAAGTTCGGTGAAGAGCAAGTTGGAGAAATTGAAGGCCTTGAACTTCTAGCGAAGTGGAAAGAAGAGCAGAAGAAACAGAAACGAGCCGAAGGAGGTTTACCAGAAGGAGCTGAAAAGGGCGAAGACGAAGAGAACGGCTGGGATTCGGACGATTGGGAAGTTGCATCAACAGATAGCAGCGACTCTGGGGAATGGATTAGGGTAAGCGATTCAGAAGATGAAGCAGAGCCCGAACCAGATGCCAAGAGGCAAAAGGTCAATCCAGATGACCCCGAGGAGGACGATAAAGAAAACGCAGAGAACGAGGCTATTGATTTCATAAAATTAGCCACGACTCAGATTCTTACACCCGCTGACTTGGCCAAACTTCGCGAATTACGAATGGAAGCCAATATCGATAAAGCTATGGGCGGCAGCAAGCGCAAGAAGGAGCTGGAAGGCCGACATGTCGACGAAGGATTAACGGCAGAGCAGATTGAAGCGCCATCAAGGCTACGCAAGAGTACCAAGGAAGAACGAATAGCACTAGCGAAAGAAGGCAAGCCGGATCGTGAGGAGCACAAGTCTACACAGGCTATACGAAAATCCAAGAAGGAAGCGGAGGGTAAATCTTCAACCAATAAGGAGAAGGCACGCAAGAAGAACTTCATGATGACGCTAGGCAAGGCCAAATCGAAGCAGAAACGAAGTCTTGTTACCACGAGGAATATCTTAAAGAATCATATCGATAGAAGCAAATCCGGTGGCAGGAGAAGGAATGGCGTATCACGATAATCAGTAAAATAGATTAATACTTGGGCTAAGCGAGACTCATTCGCTTTTCCTTGTTGCTGATGAAAGTAACTTGTTGAACTAATTTTCTAAGCATAAAGTGCCTAATCAATGAAGACGATACCTTTAGCTACCTTGCTCATGATGTCGCATGACAGGAGATGGCGCCATCCGGTCTCCATGCAAATTACACCGCTTTTAGTCTTAAATATCACAAATGCACATCTATAAGAGGGACCTATTTAACACCATACCATGTCATATGTCATATATAACATTTGACCTATATGCTTTTGAAAAGCCACAAACTGCTACCCCTTTTCAAATATACCAATGCGGATCTTTACTCCGAAGCTATTTTTTCTAGACGAGTCTGATATAGAAAGTCCTTGAGCTAGGTAAATATTGTGGTCGATAAATTACCCTGTTGTGAAATGAGCTTAGTAGTTGGAGATATTTTACTTGAAGAGCTATGTTATGTCACACTAATCTTTACTGTCCATTGCATCTCGTAACGTTCCCTAGTAACACTTCACGAACATAGGATAGCGATGAAAACAGAAAGCGACTGCTCTCATAATTGAGGTCTAAAATTTTTTTTTTTCTTAGGAGGCACGTACCAGTAACCATCATCGTTGTCAGTCCATCGTAAGAGGTATTTATCACCATCGTAAGAATCATCTATAAGACATCGGCCAATATATCCGCGAAGAGCTCTATATATACTGATTTAACCTACCCAGTTTTCCTTATGCCAATCGCCCTTTTAACATAATGCTATCAAATCCAAAAACGCAAGGCACCCACACACCGACTAGTTCTAGCAGATCGAGTGCGTCTTGCCGTGCTTGCCCTGGATCGAATGTTTTTCTTTCTATTGTCTCGAGGGTTAGTATAGAATCGCGAGAATATAAAATGTTATAGGGATGAAAAAGGGGGGGAGGGGGGAGGGGGGAGAAAAGATGCTTACGCGGAATCGAGGATGGTTGTGCTTTGCCTGCACGCTGTTCATGGCGTTTTTGCGGATGAATTCTTCTTGCTTAGCGATAGACTCCTTGTCCAGCTGTTCAAGCAGCTGCTGGCAGTACCGAATGTCTGAGATAAGGGAGTCGCATCTGTTCTTGGAAAAGTCCTCGCGGACGACCACGCGAAGCATCTTAAGGTCGTTAGTGTGTGGCGCCATGGTGTACGCTGGCACTACCCAGCCCTTGGCACGTAACCTATGCGCCAGCGCGAACTCATCATAGTTACGCTCCGTTGTGGTATCCGGCAACCGGAAGGCAACTAGCGGCAGACCTTCGCCTGACTTCTTGCTCATGATTACGAAGCCTAGCGCCGTGAGGGCTTCGGATAGATAATCGGCCGTGCGTGTTAGGTTCGACATGATGGCCCGGTATCCCTTCTTTCCTAGCCGGATCAGCTGGTAGTACTGCCCGATGATCTGGCTAGCACCCTTGGAGAAGTTAAGCGTGAAGGACGATTGGTCGGCGCCAAGGTAATTTATGTTGAAGACGAGTTCCTGGGGTAAGTATTTCGCATCCCGCCACACGACCCAGCCAACGCCGGGGTAAACTAAACCATACTTGTGGCCCGAGACATTTATAGAGACGACCTTTTCAAGCCTAAAGTCCCATTCTAAATCCGGAACTACAAAAGGGGCAACGAACCCACCACTAGCGGCATCGACGTGAATGGGGATATCGAGGTCCCTTTCTACCAGTAGGTCGTTGACGCTCTTAACGTCCTCGTACTCGCCGGTATAGGTGGTACCCAAGATAGTACAGATGCCGATGGTGTTCTCGTCGATGAGGTCGACTGTTTCCTTAGGGTCAATAACGTAACGGTCTGGCGTGCAGTAGACCAGCTTCTCTTCGACCTCGAAATAACGCGTCGCCTTCTCCCAGCACACTTGTACGGCTGAAGACATGACGAGGTTGGGCTTGTCGGTAGACTTGCCCTCGGCTACGCGCTTGTTCTTCCAACGCTTCTTCATAGCTAGTACAGCTAGCATGATAGCCTCCGACGAACCTACGCATGAGGTACCAACAGCACCACCGCCCTCTTCATGTTCTGTAGGCGCATTGAAGAGCCGGGCGATCATGGATACACATCTGTTTTGGATATCGGCCGACTGTGGATATTCCTCGTAATCGATGAAGTTCTTGGAGAAGCTCTCGGCCATGAGCTTTTCAGCCTCTTCCTCCTAGTCCATAGGGTCAGCAGATTTCCATGCGATGTAACGTCGCCACAAGTGCCGAGAGCCAAGTTGGGCTTCAACAGGGCACGTACCATGTAAGTGGTAACGAATGAGGCAAGACTATTGGAGAAAACGAATTGTCAGCTCGTCTGCCCACGTTCGCCTCGATTTCCAAAATTCCAAGGCGCCACATCGGATCACGATCAGGAGATTTATATGTATACGCCTCAACTTACTTCAGCATTGGGTTGCCGTCCAAGCTCAGCTCGTCTTTAATCATGCGGTAGGCAATCTCCTTGGGCATCTCACCCTCGGGCATCTCATGCCTAGGGAGGTCTTCCGCGGCGAACCTAGAGCCATAGACGCTTGTTGTGTAGCTATCATCGTCGTTACTTAGCTGCAGGTTGATCTTCTTGACGGCCTCCGGCAGGTTGGAGATTTCCCCGTTGGCGGGTACCTTAGCAAGATGTACCATTTTGCGTAAGGACGAGTTTCGATATGAAGTGATAAAGTGCTAGGGCTTGTGTTAGGCAAGTAAATGAGAAGAGACTCAGAACAAAGTTAAAGGGGCGAGGAAGCGGTAAGACGGTCGTATATCTTTATATACCTCCTTGATATATACAGGCGCGGGAGCTCTCCAATTGTACGACCCCACGTTCCAGCGCAGCGTTTCTTTACAGGTTACATAGTACCAGCTGCAGCAGTCTACGCGGCAGGTAAGCAGGTAAGCAGGGATGAGATGAAATAGGATGTATCATGCGGGGTAGCCTATAGCAAAGCATTTCGTAACAGCGCAGGTTAGTTAAGATACTGTACATAGGTCGGTAGCCAGCACATATATACAATACGTAGTACGTCGTAAAGCTAGTGGAGTTCTACCCTTGACTTAGACCTAAGTCAGGTATTCTTAACAGCCATAAATGACGTGCCTACACAGTTAATGAGGCGTAGCGGTGAATACGATCGATCCAACGGGTCTTTCGGCGTCATCCTTTTTGTACCTTTACACTACGTAATAAGTAGGCGGTGAATATGAGCAGATTGATGATAGATGGGTAGTTAACAGAAGCGTAAGATTTAAGATTAAACAAGTTTTCCAACAGCCCATAACTTAGGTACCTACAATGTCAGTACAAATTTGTGTTGTCGTCTCAGGGGAAGACTCAGGAACATGAATGGACAAACAAAGAGGGAACAGGGGATGATGATGGGATCTTCGGGTTTCGTATGTATGTACATAATAGTATGTGCGGAATAGTTAGTTACATTATCTAAAACAAGCCCCAACTTCAGGTCGCCAAGGGTTGGCAAGAAAGCTTGGTTAAAAATTGGGTAGCTCACTCGTTTCGGCTAACAGGGATCAACAGGGATCAACAGGTACATGGAATCCGCTCGTAATAATATTCTCCTAACTCTTACGGATACTGTACATACATCATATATGGACATGCATAGTAGGCCTCTAACTCCAAGAGATTCTCAACTTGATTCAGACAGCGACATAGCCGATTCGTCTTCCATAGATTGCCCAACACAACACAATGTCCTGTTAAAAATGTATGTAGTGCCAGAGCGCACAGCAAACGATCTTCTCTCATGCAGACCCGGTGTACTCAACGAGTAACACCGAGATCTCCAGATCTTATGCGGGACGGGATCGACACGAGCCATATCCGTGTTATTCAAACCCGCTATAATACAGGTCTTTTTCGTGCCGAAGTGATGCATTCGCAACCACAGCCTGACTGCGACACAAGGTACTAAAAAGCTTGAATTATCAGCTGTTATATTAGGTAGTGTCCTACCCAGACTTGACAGTCCACGTCATCCAGAATCCTTGGAGGTTTCCTTCTCGAGACATTCTTCAGCTTTCCACATCGTTTTCGACGCATCATTTTACCCAAATATCATAGTTGGTATTATTCAGCGCTGGTAGTTTCAATTACTCAATGTTAATCAACGTTGTCGCCCGACAGACTCCTTGGGCAGAATATGGCTACGTTACCCAAACTCAGCTTACGATGTGTGGCGATTCGATCCCGGCATATGTACCTATGTTCCAATATCTTCGACTCGTATGGACATTTGGCTGTGCCTCCCTGATTTAGGCTTCGTTTAAAAGCCATATGTAAAGAGATAGTATGATAAGAGGATGTGGTAAGAGGATTACCTTTTTGCTGGCTGCTTGGACCTTCTCTAGCTCATCAATGCGAGCTTGTCAAATGTTGTTGAGGTTTCAGCCCTCTGAATTAACGTTTACACTCTCATATAATTGAGAGGCCAAAGCATAGAGTGGAAGGTTATGTATACATGCGTGCGTAAGGTAGCAAGCACTCCTAACCTTTCACGATTAACTTCGCCATCTGGACTAGTTAGAACTTACCTCATAAGCCACTAGAAGGTAACTTAGAGAGGCTCTTGCATCTTATATATTTCGCTACCTACCTAGGTTAGGTACCTGTTACTGAAACTAGCTCTCCTTTCCTCTTGCCTCTCTAGAGTTACTCTTGTTCGTCCAGATGCCTGTATCGTAATCGTCTTATATTCTTCTCCTTCTCCTATCATCTTATAACTTCTTAGCTAACGAAACCTATTTTGCCTCCTGTTTATAGATAACATTTCACTGTACACGTCCGAGTCAAGCGAAATATCCAAGGCGCACATTCATTAATAGGATATTTCATACCATTAGTCTTCGTCACCCATAGCAAACCGTCCTCTCAGTAGCAAGAAGTAACTGCAATCGCTACTCTCTTCACTTTGAAAATTCGAACCATATCGAGAGCTCTACCCTTTCTAGTTCATAATGGAGCCCCCGCAGTTATCCTCAAATGGCAATCGTCAATCTCAGTCTCCCAACCGCGAATCGACAAACACCAAGGGGAAACATGAGAACCCCCAAAGAGCATCACTAGCGACGGTTGCAGAGCTTGACTATGATGGTAGAATGTTCTACGATATTTTATTGACACCGCGAACAACGCTCCTCAAGAGCGATGAGTTACGGAAAAAAAGATTGTCAAATGGTGTTTGTCATGATTCTCATCCCAATGGCCATCAACCCCGAGCCTCCAGAGCTATGCCCACGACATTAAATGAATTACAGTCCTGCATGGAGAAAGAAAAGCAGGGTCAAAAGATGATGGTGTCGAATATAAATGGATATTCCGCATCTGATTTGGACCTAAGTCTGAACGAGCGCAATGCAGCAAAGAGCTCTAGCCCAAACAACTTGACAGATATACAGGTAGCCCCTCTCAAAGAACCACCCAAGTTGCGAACAACTCAGCTTAGCCAAACAAAGAAGAGGTCGAAACTCACACCATTGAAACATCCGAGCTGCGAGGCGATGGCCGCCAACAAGCCTAGGAAGCAAAAGGGTAAAGAAGAGGTGGATAAACCAGCAAATAAGAATTGCTTAACCACATCAGATCAAGATATGCTACAAAATGGATCTCTCGACAATGGCTACTCGTTACCGAATATACAGGTGGCAAATCGCAATGGTGAAGGTTTAAGTATCCTAGCCGAAGTAGCAGTAGATGCAGCAGTAGAAATATTGGAAGCGATGAAAGCATCAGAAGAGAAAAAAGAATCTTTGCTTCTTGAGGGTACCAAAACTGATATTCAGAGCTTGCCGGGAGCCATGGATGTGGTATCACCTTTGAGTACAGAAGGTACGAAGACAACCACGAAGACAATTTCCGAGCAACATAACAAGGATACGCAAGACAGCGCATCCAAGGGTCTAAATAAAGATGAGGCACAACCAACTAGCTCTACACAAGAGAACGTCGAATCCGTTGTTGTAAAAGATATGCCTAGCACTATGCATGGGTTATCACAAGCGAATAGCCTCCACGAGCCAACATCAACGCGTGAGATTAGTTCGTCCAATCATGGTATCCAAAACCCTTTAGAAGTCAAACGGTCTGAGAAGGACACGCTACGAGGGCCAGAACAAGATGCAAAGATAGATGAGTCCCTCGGGGGAAATGGGACGCCTCTAAACGAACGTAGTAAGAAGAGCGGAAGTATAAAGGACAAGACGAAGGAAGAGGAAGAAGCGATTGCGGCCGAAGAGAGCAAAAAGAAAGAGAAGAATGCCAAGAAAAGAGAGAGAGAGAAGAAGAAGGCCCGGGAACAATGGGAGAACAAGAAAAGAATGGAACAAGCTAAGCAAGAGCTTAAGGAAGCGAGGAGGAGAGAGCAAGAAAAGGCAGAGCTGAAGAAGTTAGAGGAGACCAAGAAAGTGCAAATCCGCGAGCCAAAGTAGAGCGAGGACAAGGCGGATGTTGAACAACCAGGTACCGCTCAGAAACTGGAAGACGAGATACATACGGCCGAGCAACCGGAAGATAACAAGACTCAAAAGGGCGAAGAAGTTCAGGAACATCATTACCCTGCGACCCAAAGAGAACAAGAACAGGTTAGCCGTGGTGAGGCCAGCCATAGTGAGATCCAAGTTAGAGGGGAAGATGAGAAATCCGGAGGTGTTAGGCAATGTCTACAAAAGGTCAGAGAGCAGCAAGAGAATGAGCCTCTAAAGAGCTACCAAAGTGACGACGAAATTAACTCGTCTTCCGTCCAAAAAGTCCGCCACGGGACCAAACCACCAGACCGAGAAGGGGAGGCTGAGCCTACCTCGACTACTTACGTTACGGACGAGAGCAAGTTAAGGGATCCAGAAGAAACAGCAGAGACAATTATGGGGAAGAGTCCAAAATCTAGAAAGGATGTGGACGATGCTAAGAATTTATCTAACGACGCACACAACCAACTCGAGTATCAGCAAATATCCGACTCTCAACCCCTGTCATCACCCACACGCTTTGAATTTAGAAAGCTGTCACCGTCTCCTGGTTTTCTACGGCAACTTGATAAACGACCAGACTCACCTCCACTTCTTACTGAGCTTCAGTGCAATGACCAACCTCAGCAGCAAAGACTTACAATAGGCTCTTCCCAAATCGAGCCTTCTCAGCCATCACTTATCCCCCAACAGCCAGTTCAGCATCAAACATCCAAAACACCCCCACGGTCCCAATCTCAAAGTTCCCGACCACCGGGGGCGTCTCAGACGCCTCCAACTTTACTAAACCTCCTCAGAGGATCAAGTTCCGAAGGAGAAGTGGAGCAAGCATTACCGAGTACCAAGACTGACCGACCGTTCGAGACTGATACTCAACGGCAATCTTTCGAAGTACAGTATCATCAACCTTCAAAGCCCCAGTACTATAATGAACCCATGCAGATGAATATAAATGGCGGGAACGCCTAGTTTGGCCCGCCAGTTGAACCATTTGCGCCCATGCCTCAATGGCCTCATTTGTCATCAAATCCACAGGGTTATAATATAGATAGAACGGATATATATCATAGGCAATATATCCCGTTAGAATCACCATCGAGAGGAGCGAGACAATTGAGCTCACAGCTGCCACAAATTACCGACTACAGCCAACAGAACATGACTAACGGGTATAGCCAACGCTACCCACCCGGGCAGACACAGCAGCCGTTGGCACGATCTTCGTATTACCCCACATTGGGAGATGAGTATCAAGAAACGTCTCATTCCCCGGGTTCAACAAGTTGCCAACTTTGGAGTAGTGTAGCGGAACCATCTATTAGTTCTAGATCGGAACTAGAGGCAATGCTGAGCTATCCTCACAACATCATAAGAGCACAGGGACAAGCGAACGGGCGGACTGATAGGCAACCGAACTGGCAATCGAATGGAGAGGGGAACGGAGAAGCAAACCGACAGTGCAATGAGCAGGGGAACGGGCACGAGGGTCGGCAAGTGAACGGGCAAGTGAACGGGGAAGTGAATGGATGGACACAGACATACCAGCCTGGGCACGGTAGCCGGCAGAGGGATTATGCCGGTCAAGATTTCTCGACTGATAGCCAGGGAAATAGGGACATGGCCACATGCCGATGTACTCGCAGATGCACCGCAGGATGCCCTCGCGGTCGAGCCAGCCCTCCAAACTCTCGACATACAGATCGTGAATATGATAGGCGGGGCAGGCAAGTCAGGCAAGTCAGGCGAGATGAATCTTATTCTGGGTTAACAGAACATGAGGTTGAAGACATGGCTTGGGAGTTGAGTGTTATCAGTCGACGGGTGCAAAACATCGGGACTCGGTTGCCTCGGTTGCGACCTAGCCCGACAAGAAGGACTTATGGTTCGGAGAATGAGCATAAGGGTGGCTAGAAAGTTGAGTTATAGCGGGTGTCAGTATTACTAAGATTCTACAAGTAATTCAGCGTAGGAATGATACAAGTGTTTTTCAAGACACAAGATATTTGGGAATAAGTGTGTATTGTTGAAAGAAAAAAAGGGGGAATACCCCCCTTTTTAGGTAGTTATGCGTCGTCTACTTCGTAAGGGAGAAATTAAGTACATGTAATTGTCATAGACGGAGCAGTTCCGGCTAATCATCGGGATTAAGAAGAGGGACGTGATGCAAGTAATAATAAGGAAATATGGAGACGATGGAATTCACAATAATATGTACCTCCGAACGTACCTACCTAATATAATAATAATCAATATTGGGACATCAAATGCCAGACATGCAGACATGCAGACATGCCACCTGCATTGTCTCCATATGTACATAAGTCTCCATATCACCTGCCTAAGGTAGATATGTAGGTAGATAGGTAGATAGGTAGGTACCTAAGATATACATATTCCATCCTTCGTACATGGTGACATTCTTGGACCAATGTTGCATAAACCACAACCCATAAAACCATATTTCGTATCATTACGGATACATCATCACCCTCGCTTTTTCGAATTTCTACCTAATCTTACCAACTCACAACTCACAACTCACAACTTACAACTCCATGTCTGAGCGCTAACGAGAAAAGTAAAACGAGGTGCATAAGCTAGAAAGACAAGGCCGACAGACAAGTCGTCGAGCTCGACCATGATTCCTAGGAAGTCAACATGGATCCCGAGTCAAATGCGCCCCTGGAGCGATCGACGTCACAACTCTCTGCAGCCTCAGCCTCGGCAAAGGTGTCCCGAAGCCACTCGACACGCGCAAAGTCGAAGCCAAGGAAGTTGATCTCACAGCCTTCTAGTTCAGCATCGTCCATCGCCGCCTCTGACAAGTCTCTTACCTCCTTCCCCTCATTTTCTCCCCAATCCCCGCGCGACGAGCCGTCATTCACCACCCTCGAGTCGAATACTTCTACCGTAAATGTCGACAGGAAACCCCTCGTGGCTCCGATTAGGACATCCATGGTTGAAAATTTGACTTCAGCCGAGGCCCAGAAGACAGTGCGCGATGCGCTATTCGATGATGCTCCTATAACAGCATATAAGATACCCGGTGCTCTTCATCATGCTAGCGATGACCATATACAACATCTTATCGCGAAGCACGGGGCTGTTAATCTCGTGCGCCAGGTCGCCGAGGACCTTGCACATCGCGACATGGAAATTTCCCGGCTAAGAAGGAGAGCTGATGAAAGAGAAAGAGCACTTAGGAAAATAATACGCGGATGTGGATTGTCAAGCTTAGATCTCGAGACAAAGCTCCGGTCGGTGGAGACAGAGCTTCAGGCGCAAGACAAGATTAAATATGCTACAAATGGGGATGTTTCTGGCATGATGAACGATGCGATACACGATTCAATGTCTTACAAAGCGCTGGGGATAACAGATATAGACGACAGTACGGTTAGAGCCAACACTCTATCTGCTCCGAGGGACAGCAACACGGTTAGTAAAGGCACGATGAAAGCATGGAAGGAATATCTATGGGGCGGCGGAAGTAGAAAGGCTAGCAGAGCAGCTAGTATTAACGAAGAGGGCGCAAAGACCGCCATTCGTGCATCAACACCAGGAGACCGCCGCCCTCCTATCCAGGAAGACCTCTTCACCCCGCCGGATGCCGAGTCTGCGCAAAGCTCAAGCCGTGCTTCCAGCATCTACTCTGCGCATACGAATAGAAAACCCTCATCATCTTTTGCTAGCATGGCTTTACAACTAGTGGCTGGGAAAGGCTCTTCGATCCGCGATTCTGAATCTACTAGAGGAAGATCAAATTCGGCGGGCCAGGGCGGTTCTGTGAGGTCATCATCAAACACTAGCACCAAGACAGGTGCCTCTATCAGAGCCGCGTCTACGCAAGGGGGCCCCAAAGCACTCATGTCGATGCGACGAGCAACTCCTAAACCTGGAAATCTGCAGTTTTCCAGACCACGTGAAAGGTGGGAAAGCGTAGGCGCAAACCCGGAAAGTCCGTCTGCAACGAGGTCAGATAATAATGGCCCGGTCGAGATGGATACTATATTTTCCCCTGAAGGTCAACCGCCGGCTTTATCGCAACTCTATAATAACTACAATAGCGGCGAGTACTTGATCGATCGCTTCGGCTTTATTTATGACCAACGTCGAAAGAAAAGACAGCGCGAAGCCGCCAAGGTCGCTTCACGCATGAAGAATGGACATGAGATGCTTTCTAGCGGAAGGTCTAACCTCTCGCCTAACTTACTTGATGATGACGCAAGTTCTAGCGGGGATGCTAGGAGTGATGATCGTCCGGAGAGCCCGACTTCTATTGAGGGCCTTGTTGACCAAGGCATGGCGAAACGATGGCAGGATTATCTTAAGATTGCTACCTTCCCTACGGAACTTTTATCGCATACTCCATCTATAACAGCTCCGAACATAGAGGTGCTTGAAGGAAGTGGATCCAAATCTCCAGGACTAATCAACACAGACGACCGCGGATTCGTCCCGACTGCGACCACCACCACTGCGGCTCTTGATAGGGAAATGAGCCCAGCAAAATCAGAGGAAGAACCAGCTATGGCTACGCTAGTTCACGAGGATGTTGAGCCGGTTAAACTTCTACTAAAGCAGTTGAGTGATGTTCACGACGCCCTGCAGAGAGAAAAGTCTGTGCGTTGGAATGAGTTTTTAAGAAAAGTACGCGCTGAGCGCCGACGCGAGAGCGAGGCTGCGGCTGCTACTGCGGCTGCCGCAGCTGAAGCTCGTTTCCAGACAGCTCCCGTCATGATTCCCGAAGCTAAGCTTACTGATGGTGAGACTATTGGTATCGCGGATCTTGGGGTGAAGGGAAAAGTTGGGCGCGCTAAATGGAATGAGTTCAGGAACCTGGTGCTTGGCGGTATCCCCGTGGCAAACCGCCCCAAGATCTGGGCAGAATGCTCCGGTGCCCTCTCTAAACGAACCCCCGGCTACTACAGGGATCTTATCTCGCGACCTAGTGCACTTGATGATGATGTTGTCATCTCGCAAATCGAAATGGACATCAATCGTACGCTTACCGATAACATATTCTTTCGTAAGGGGCCCGGTGTCACCAAGCTCAACGAAGTTCTCCGGGCATATGCTAGGCACAACCCCGAAGTAGGATACTGCCAAGGCATGAACCTAATCGCTGCGAACTTGCTGCTAATCATGCCATCTGCCGAGGATGCCTTCTGGGTATTCGTATCAATTATTGAACGTATCTTGCCGCAGGGATATTATGACCATAGCTTAATGGCTTCGCGCGCGGACCAGCACGTACTACGCCAGTATGTAAGCCAAGTCCTACCAAAGCTGTCTCAACACCTCGATGCGCTAAGCATCGAGCTGGAGGCTTTGACGTTCCAATGGTTCCTAAGTGTCTTCACGGACTGCCTATCAGCCGAAGCGTTGTTCCGCGTATGGGATGTAGTGCTATGTATCAACGACGGTAGCACGTTTCTGTTCCAAGTCGCGTTGGCGTTATTAAAACTCAATGAGCGCCAACTACTACAGTGCGATGCGCCTGCCGCAGTCTACACGTACATCAACCACCAAATGACCAACCACGCCATCAGCATCGACGGCCTAATCCAGGCCTCCGAGGGCTTGCGCCGCGTCGTTCGCCGCGAGGATGTCGAGGAACGCCGGAATAAGGCTATCGAGGCCGATAAGCAGATGGCACGAGAACGTGAGGAGCGTAACGCAAAACGTCGCGCCGAGCAGAATTCGCAAAAGGGCACGTCGATGCCTGCGCTCATCACCGAGGCTGGTGCCTCCACGGCCCTGAACCTCGCCGTGCAGGCCGAGAGCGAGAGCAGTAGCGTGACCGGGTTGAATATTTTGGACGCGGTCGGGGAAGAGGCAGAAGAAGAAGGCACCGGACCGGCACAGACACCGGCAGAGGAGGAAGCATCATTCGGGCTAGGATAAAGAGCATCGGGAATGATGATACCGGAATACGGTTGAGAGAGTACAAGTACAAACCCGTAAAGGAATAAGGCCAAAGAAGTGTCTTTCTCGGCGCAGAATAAGTGGTAGGTAACCGGTCGGCTGGTGGACATACGAGCATTATTACCCTAAACGGCTGGTGGCTTCTTGCATTGATATCGCACCCGGGAGTTTACGTTTTTTTTTTCTTATTTCTTTTGTCGTTCTCCCCGTTTTAGAGATTGGACCATGCTTGCATGCCATGATACCCCCTCTCGGTCGCACAAAGTTTGTTTTATTTTTTCTTTCCTTTTCCTATTGTGAGTAGTCTAGTCAGGCGGATGGAGTAGCCGGACATAACAAACAGATGTCACTCAGTCGCATGTAGAAAGAGGATGGACGAGAGGCCTAGCTACACAAAGGCGGGCAGATAAGAGATAGTACCGAGTACACGGGATGGGATGCCTTGCATACCATCCTTGCTGTCGTGCGGCGAGACAATATGAAGCGGAAGAAGGCGACGACGCGCGTGTAGACGAAGAAGATTATATCCGAGTGCGACAGAACGCCGGAGCTTTTGGTACCGAACCGGAATTCAAGGACAGTTCATACTTACCGTTAGCCGGTTTTCTCTCGGGGTGCTCGCGTTTTCCGTGATTCCGCAAGACCGTGTACACGTAAGACGTAAAAATTAATTTATAGTTATTCAATAACTAATGAGTCCTACGCAAGATGCCACCGAAATCAAATGTGCCTACCTACCAAGAAAAAAAAATGACTAAATATCCGACGAAGATATTAAATAAAGCATAGGAACAAATGAAATATTTACAAAAAAATAAACTCCGAATCGGGGAATCGAACCCCGGGCTTGACGGTGCTTCAGGGTCAGAAACCTTGAGAGCGTCAAATGTTAGCCACTACACCAATTCGGATTTATCGGATGACAATTACATCTGCTAACTTTCTATATGTATATACTACGAATAGGTACATGCTTAGCGCCTTATATGCTACATGTACATACGTAAAAGCTAGACGCATTAGGTAGTTACTAAATCCATGTAACGCAGTTTTTAGTATGTTTATAAATGACGGGTGTTTTTGCCTTTTATTTATTTACCGTAGAATTCTTTTCAATGTTAGGTAATTACAG